AAAAAAAAAAGGAAAAAAAAATTGACAAGAAATCCATGTTTGTATAAGGGGATTGAAGAGTTTTGGGTGACTTCAAGTTTTGGGTGACAAAAATCTCAAATTCTTGGTTTACTATTCCCCAACACATTGGCCAGCCTTTTGTACATGCAGAATGAAATTCCTTCTATTTTTTTCTTTTAAATAGCTTAGTCAAGAAATAATTTTGTTATTTGTTTCTGAATGCATTGAACAAATCATCACTTATAAATAAGAGGACAATGAATGTTTTCCATCCTCCTTTGTACCTTTTAACTTTGTTATTTCTCTTCTTTGCACTTGGGTTTCATTTTTTCATTTATTTTCAAATGATAAGAGTACTCAAAGAATGATATTGGATCCCTCCGTACCAATTTATGTCACTTTTCGTTTATCGAGATTCAAACTTTTTAATTTTCATAGAATTTGAGATAAAATTAACATATTAAGAAATTACGTAAAAAATACTATAAGTCACATTAATTAATAATTCAAAAATATTTAAAAGACACATAAAAGAATCGCGGTCAAAGAAGGATTAGTTTGACTCTCGAAATCCAAACACCTTCACATAAATTGGGACGGAGAGAGTAGATCTCATTTGGATGTTTTACCCACACCTCACAAACAAGAAGGCAATTAAGAAGCCATCATTGTACAAACAACAAAGTTTTTGGAATAATCCCAAAGCCTTATACATACATTTTGACACTAATTAAAGACACTTAACATTTCCTTCTTGCAAATTGAGTCATTTGACAGTGGAAAATCAGAATATATAATAATGTTAATTAAGAAGAGAGAGTAAGGAAATCAGGGGTTTTGAGATGTTCCCAACTCCTAGAAAGGATCGAAGTAGAGGCACCATCTATTCCTATGTGAGTCACATGCTTCACATCTGTTGGAACTCCTATTTCCATCCCCATCATCTCCTCATCCTCCATTTCATCCTTATCCACTGCAAATATTACATAACCTTATTATAGTTAGTAAAGTATTCAATTACATAAATAATTTTGTGATGTTACAGTCTTTGTGTGACATATAGATCATGAGTTTGAACCGTGAAAGTCTTGACCTTAGAGGAAAGGAAAGTAACATATCCCCAATCTATTCAAAAGTTAAGATTTTTACTTCTTTCGCACTTACTATTGGAATTGATAGCTCAGATGATCACTGAGATACTTGGCCCGTCAAAAGTCATATATTTTTTTTGTCTTTCAAAAGTCACTTTACTTTATCTATTTAGCTTCAATGGTCATTTTCACCGAATTTTATATTTTTCGGTGAGGTTTAATGACGTTGCAGGCTTAATTTTAGAAAAATAATTAAAATACTTTTTAAAAACCTAGACCAATATAGCTAGAACTCAACCAACCTAAACCGATACAATACCTGGGTCGGCTCAGGTATTGGGTCAGCTTTCAGCTTTTCTTTCTTCTTTGTTCTAATTTCTACGACATAATAAATTGAAATATATATATATATATATATATTAATTGATCAGTTTTATCTTGAGTAACAAACTAATTCAATGCAAACAGAATGAAACCAGGAAACTTGCTTAGCTATAAATTTATGTACTTTCCTTGCTTTCCATTGAGCTAGAAGATAACTTTTTTTAATTCATTTCAAGCATTTGAATTCCCTAGCAAGTGATGAACACCAAAAGTTGTTCAAACAAGAATAAGAGATTTAACATATATGGTAAACTGGAGACTCACCAAATAAGTGGGACAAGTTCTTGAAATTCTTGAAAAGCCTCTGAAACTTGGGAAGTGACATAAGGCTTAAATTAGGACTCTTCAAACTTGAAATTCTGTCATCATCCTCTCCTTCTTCTTGTTCCTCCTCCTCATCTTTTCCTTCTTGGCTCCCTGCATTATGGAAAATATTAACTACAACATAGCTGTTCTACACAAAGGATTTGACTTTTATATGTGCGGACAGTGTAAAGAATATTTACATTATCAGGGTATTTTAATTTGTTATAGCTAGTAAAAGGACAACCTGATGCACTAAGCTTTCACTATGCGCGGGGTCCGAAAAAGGTCGGACCACAAGGGTCTATCGTACGCAGCCTTACCATGCATTTTTGGCTGTTTCTACGGCTCGAACCCGTGACCTTCTGGTCACATAGCAACAACTTTACCAGTTACGCCAAGGCTAGTAACTTGTCTTATTTTTCATGCTTTTTATGGACAACCACATGTATGTTATCTTGATCTAGTAGTGTAAAAATTATGTTACATTGCCAGTATAGAAATTATAAATCCTACAAATAATTATAAATGAGGTGTGTGTAGTGTAAGGGAGAGGGAAGAAGAGAAAGAAAGAGCAAGAGAGACTTGTGGGAGTTAAGTTGGATTCATGAGGGCTTGATCTTTTATGATGATATTGTTGACCAATTGCAACACTTGATTCAGAGATGCAACCAACAGAAAATGGAAGAAGTACAAATTTTTCCATTCTATCCCTCATTTTGATCAAACAAACTAAGAATACACACAAGAATCCACGAGTATATATATATCAAGAATGTAGATATTCTTGTTCCTTTGTGGTGAGAGGGGGAGAAGAAATGGTAGTTGGAAGTATAATGTTGAGGGAAGTTAGAGAGTTGGGAAGGGTTTGTTATAGTAGTTGTTGTCTTTTGCCTTTATTGTTAAGTTATAGTACTCCTAATAATAATAATAATAATACGTTGATAGTCAATATCAAATCTTAAGCTGACGAAACTTTTAGCTTTTCAAGATTCAAACCTATTAATTTTGATCATGTATTTGGACATACAATACTTAAGTATTTTGAAATTATAAAATTTACATATTTCGAACTATGTCAAAAGTATCATAAGTCATAATAATAAATAATTTAAAATATTTAAAAGGCATATAAAAAAGTTGAATTCATTTAACTCTCAAAATCTGAACCGGAACGCAGGAAGTGTCAAAGAAGAAATCTCAACTGTACATTCAGATCTGTGTCTTTGTTTTGTGAGTCCTTCATTTGTTGGGTCGTAGTGCATTGTGGGGTCTTCTTCTTAATTTGCTTGTCACACTTAGAGGAGAAGTCACCATTTGTTTTAGTTGGAAGATACCAAACACTAGTCCCCAATGCACTACGTACCAAAGTTCTTTTCCTTTTCCTTCTTTTCATTTCTAGTAAAATATGAGTATTTACTTCAATTGGACTCCACCTCTATTAAGTGTAAAACAAGCAAAAATGGAACTTTTTAAATGTAGTAGATTTTGGATCCATAATTTCTTAGATGCAATTACTACTGTATTGGCTAAGCTGCTAATTTGTGGACATTACAAGTGTTCTATCTCTTTCTTGAATCATAAAAACAATCTTTTAATGTGTGATCTTTTGCAGTATGGTACAGCACTGGGTAGGGAATCTTTTTTTGAAGATATTAATAAAAAGTAGTATAGATTTAGCTAAACATTTAATGTAAATCCTAATCATGATTTCTCGATCATTTGCTCCACCTAATATTATTTTGATTAACCACATCATTACCCTACTAAGAATATTATGTCATGGAAAAATTTATCATACTGCTTGGTACTTGTTGTAGCTAATCCATTCGGTTTTATCTCTAGTTAAACATTCCAACAATTATTTATACACACACACACACATTTCCCACTTAATTAATAATGGTTAATTAATGCTATTATATGTTATCACCTCATTAAATTATTTAATTGTAGTAAGTTTTGGCTTTTAGTTAAAGAGGAATCTGCATATTTCTGTGGGCTGAAACCAAACAAATAGCTTCAACGGGACATTTCTGATTGCCATTAATCTGATTTTGGTTCAGCTTTTTTAGCTTGGATTAATTGTTGAGGAAATGTCGTTAGAGAATACTTGTGTTATTTTGTGTGAGAACCTACCTCTGAGGAATTTTTTCAGGAAATATTATATGTAGATCTTTAGAATTTTTTAGAACATTAATTGCTTCTGTATGTGGGTGACTAGTTCCCAGTCACAACTCACAACTCACAAATGAGACGTTTAACTACTTAGAGTTGTTTAATAAATGAAATTAATATTCTTCAAATCACCCACGACCCAATTCAACCTAAATAAAATTAAAGGAACAAAAAAATATACCTGTATAAAAATTAATGATGCAGAATGATTGGAGAATAAAATTGTGGTAAAAGGGACGCGTTTATTGTCCAAATGTGGAAAAAGAATGTAACGTTTATAGCTGTGTACCTACTTTTTGGGTTAGGATAAATTCTCAGAATAAGCATTTCAAACTTTAATGAGATGGCCTACTACTAGCAAATTTAAAGCAAAGTGAATTGAATATACTGTACCCTACATTGATTTGCCCTAAACTACAAGTCATCCAAAGTTGATCACCAATCAAGAATCAAGTAAAGAAGAAAAATATGGCCTACCTAATTGAATCATTTGCAATGGCATTAGGGTTTGTAAGAGTTTCAATGATGACACTTGGAGTGAGGTACCCTAATTAATGTTTTTTAATAATCGAAAAATCCTCGAGGACCAACTGGCACACAGCTCGGACTCGGTGGATAATGCGCCATCTCCCCTCTATCATTCACCACTTAAATAACATACTCGCGTTCAAGATTCATGACTTGTGCCAAACTCATGCATCATGTGTTACACTCTTACCACTGGACAAACGTCCTGGGGGTAAAACCTTAATCAGTGAAATTGCGGCAGCATAACTTTTCGAGTAGTCTTCGGGCAACTGTTTTTAGGATTCTTTTAGAGTTAACCACATCATTAGTTCAGTATTCAGGAACCTATGATAAACAAAGTGTTGAAGTCTTGTACAAGTAAAACCACAATTCTTGGACTCAGTTTACACGGAATGTGAATATAGACATCAAAATAAAATGCAAGGCAGCAATATATTAACATATTCATAAAGCAGAATAAGATATTTCTAAAGAGAAATTAGAAGTTGAAGGGTAGATTTGATAGAAATGACTTACTGCACATAATTGTGAATTCCAAACCCTTGAGCCTCAATTTAAATCGTCACGAGCATTCTCTTTTGACACTATCAACTCGTAGTGAAAGGACAAAATAAATTCATCATCCAGAAGTTACAGTTACCGGAGAGCCATGTGTTTACCCGAAAAACGATACAGTTGAATTTGTTCGTGGTTTCTAGACAAGTGAATTAATTTGATCCAAAAAGTAATGAAATAACTGATGAAATATGAAATACTTAGCCTTAGAATGTAGATGAAACAACAGAGTTAATGAGTCCGGAAACAATGGCACAACAATGATAAGATCAAAAGCGAGAGAATCAAATTATATTAAAATGTTGTATAGAATGTAACATAAGTTAGCCAGAAAATTCCTCCCCTTACAATGATAACTGAGCTCTCTATTTATAGTTATGTCTAGGGAAGGAGGTCCTAGGATCATGCCCTTCTTTAATGTCAATTATGAGGGTCATTGATGAAGATGTAGCGTTAGAAATAAATGGCAGATTCCTTGTAACGAGTCATCATCCTTAATGCTGTAAATTAAAATATTTCGTATTAAATGTTACCGAGCGCAAAATATTTAATACTCTTTTTATGATCATTATTCCTTCCGGCGACAAGCGGAATAACTATGTTCGGTGGCCATCTCCATCTTGTGTTCCACGTGTCCTTCCTTTAAGCGGCCACGTGTCATGTCGTATTTTTTCCTATACAGATAGTCTCCCTACTTTTCGATGACATAACTTTGTGTTACCGGAAAGTTGGTAGAAACACTCTTTTGGCGAGAATTATTATAATTCCTTTTGAAGGCCACTGATAGTTGATTAGACGCCCGTCTCTCCGCATTTAATACCCCGAACACGTGTCTTCCTATGATTTAGCACGCTTTTTGCCGATTATTGAGGTAATCATGGTCATGAATTTAGCAGCCAAAATTTTAGTTATACGCATCATCCTTCTCTTATGTACTTCATAATCTCTCAAACTTCTAATTTGCACCTTTATTTCCCAACTTTTCTCTGATCTTCTTCGAACCAGAAATTTTCCTTCCTTCTATTCCAATGGCTTCCTCTTTAAAATGTGCTAGTTCTTCAAAGGGCAAGAACAAAACCGAGGATTCCGTTCCTCCAACGGTGGGCTCCATCATCCCAAGAAGGCTTAGTACTTCGAAGGATTTTAAAGAGAAACTTCTTACTGCTAACCCTCGCACATGGGCTATTAGTAGGTACCCTTCTTCTATTAGCCCTTCCAGTATTCCTAGTGTGAATGAGGATAGCCGTTGTCATGAGACGGACATCATTGCTCCTGACCTATCAGAGTGAGTGACCCTTCCCAGGGAAGGGTTTACATATCTTTTCACGTATCCCTTTACTTTGGGTGCGTTTTCTTTGAGCGGAGAGCTTGATTCCGTAATTGCGGAGTTTTGCCTTCGCTACCAAGTGTGTTTGGCACAGGTAAGTCCTTCAGTGTGGAGGACGGTTGCCTGCCTTCGACGTCTGTGCCTAGAAACTGGAGAGGAGCTAACCCTAGATCATATGATAAATCTCTATTCTCCCAAAATCTTCCGCGGGGAATAATAAACCTATGCAAGCATGGCCACCATGCTTTGTTGTCTAACATGGACGACGACAACGACTGTGGGTGGATGCAATGGTTCGTTGTAGTTGCCACCAGTGACATTATTCCAACAACGGCATCATCCTTTCCAGTTGCTTGGAACCGCTCACGTAAGTTCTCTATAATACATCTTTTCTTACTAAATATTCTTTCATGTTTATATTGATCCTTCAACCTTCATTTGTTACAGCGACTCGATGGATCCCACCAGTGATAGAAGGCTTGGATCGGTGGGTTCAAAAGATCTTGGACATCACAACGCCCGAAACCTGTTTGTGGAAAGAACTGTCCATTAAGTACAGGTGGAATGCCAAAAATCATGGTAACTTTAATTTACCTCGTTTCCACGTTTTGTGTATGATGAACTTGATTGAACCCTTTTTGACTTGCTCACGAAATTAGGTCTACCTGCGGACTCAGTTGATGTCCCCGAGGAGAATGTTTTGCCTGACCTTCCTGATGCGGCGAGGCTGCTTCAGGAGGCACTTACTCGAACATTCGTCTCTGGGCCTACTTCGGGCGCAAGCATTTCTTTACGGAGTCCCCGGCCAGAGAACAAGCAACCAAAAAGGAGGCGCTCCTCTGCGGCCGGGGAAAAGAATAAGAGGGCAAGGTTGATGCCCCTGAATCATATCCGGTGGCGATAGTAACCGGTCCTCCTTCCGGGACGGTCATAGACACTGTGATGATCGACGATGATAAAGAAGCTAGTGATGAGGGAGCTTCTTTACATAGAAGGATACGATCCTCATCATCTCAACAGGATGCTCGACCTGTTGAGATAATTGCAACAACTGAAGATGACATCTCAGCTCTTTGGGGAGAATTTGATTTGGTAGATAATGCTAATTCCCGCTCTCGGGCCCCAATTGCTGTAACCGATATTGTGAGGCTGAGTACCGGGTCCATGCCATCTTTGGTTGGCGAGCATCAAATAACCAGCACTGCATTTGATGCAACTGCTTCTCACTCTTCCACTCCATCAGCTTTATTTCCACCTTCACCATCACCAGCAACTGC